GTTGAAGTTAGGCCTAACGCAGGAAGAGGTTAAGTCCCAGATCCTTCGGGGTTTGAGACCGGATTATGCGTTCATGATTCCCTCTCTGCGGATAGTCAAGCACGAAGACGTCACCGAACTGGTTCGGGACATTAAAAGGTTTTTGGAGGACCAGAAAGAGTTTAAGGAGAGAGAACTTAGTTCGAAGAGCGGAATTGACACTCGCGAAGGCAAGGGCCCGGTGTGCTACAGTTGCCGGAAGGAGGGTCATAGGCAAGCAAGATGCCCCGAAAGGACGAAGGACGACCGTCAGTCGTACAATACGGCTGGGTTCTCCAGGAGCTCTTTCACGAACGCATCGCCTAGAAGCCAGACGACGGATACCAGTAGAAGTATTCCGTGGAGATCAGGCGACTGGCGACAGCGTAGTCCGAGTCCGTATAGAGGCCGGGCTGGAGCATCTGATCATAGAGCGGTGACAAGGCGAGCAGCATCACCAGCAAAGGCACAGGCATCGACCGAAGCGGTCAAGCCTAGGATTTCGAAATGTTCGAAATGCCAGAGATTCGGGCATAGAGCCGAGGAATGTATTGACATGAAGGTTCTCAGATCGAAGTATGGATTCGAGGAGTTGAGTTTCTCCGATGAGGATGACGACCCAGCCTTGAAAGACGTTAAGGTTAACGGATCTACATGGGGGGCGATAGTGGATACTGGCGCGGCGGTCAGCGTTATCTCAGAGAAGTCAGCAGAGAATCTGCAGTTAGATATCAGGCCAAGTTCAATTCGGAATGTTCAGGGCTCCCAGAGATAGGCTACGAACCGATTGGCCAGGCTAAGGTTCAACTCGAGTTAGATGGGAAACCGAGAGAAGATGTCACGCTAACAGTAGTGCCGGATAAGATCATGCATAGCGATGAGATTCTATTAGGCCAGGATTTTCTAGATGGAGACGTGATGTCACTCTATCATAAGGGTGAATCATGGGTCGTAGATGACCAGGCTTTCGACGAAGTCATGGCAATATTCCGTAGATCAGCACCGAAACTTCAGATCAAGACGAAGCGACCGGTCAAGTTAGGACCGCGCTCAGTTTCATTCGTCAAGACTGTAGCGGTAGGCAAGAAGGAAGGCTGCGTTATGTTAGAGGATAGGCAAGATTTCGGGGCACTATGTGAAATTCAAGATGAAGAGCTAGTCATCCCGATCGCTAATACCGGCGACAAGGAAATCAGCTTGGAAACCGGAACCGTAGTAGCGCGCGGTACTCCAATGGAAGCTGAGACGTTCTATGGAGTCAAGTGAAGAAAGGCGAGAGTGTGTAAACTGATGGCTAGAGCTAGGACTTTCAGGCACTGAAAACTTTCGAAATAGGCAGGCAAAAAGGCACCGAAAATGACGAAATAGGCAATCAAGGAAAGGCATATAGGCACTTGACTCTAAGGGAAAATAGCCAAATAGTAGAGAGGTATGGGTGTCGGATGAACTTTGCCTCATGCGATGTTTTCGGTGCTTCTTAACGATGAACTCGGAAAGTTTCGTTCATCAGAGTCAATTTTCACGATAATTTATTCTGAAGTAGGAGCGTTACACAAAGCTACGACATGATACTTTACGTTCTCTGGCAAGATTTTAGGCACCCAGGCACCAGAAATTGTTAGGCCGATCAGGAGATCAAATTGGTAGTAGTAGTCGAGTGTCAGAAGCAGAGATGTCGTATGGGCTAGTTAGATCAAGGTGCACGGGAGACGTAGCGAACGTGCACATAGATAGAGTCTTGTTCTGACTGGCGTAGGCGTCGGTCGTGCTAGTGGTGGGCTCCTCGATCGGTCGAGGCCCAGGCAGTAGGCTGCCAAGAGAATAAACTAGAGAGTGGACTCGAACGACGTTTCCCTTTTCTGAGTATCCCCCACAACACCCCCCGGACCGTTGTACGATGGTGTGCCGCTCTGGGTGCACGGCACTCCGGGGTCGGGAAAGACTGTCTTCTTCGGAACCCTCCTGGGGAGTCGAGTGAAGCGCATCACCGACCTCCGACACGTGGAGCTGTTCGATTTTAAGGAGGTCTACCTGTGGTTCGACGATGTCGATTTCTCCGTGCTTAGTGTGCACGACATGAAAACGCTCTTCGACCGGGTGAGTATTTCGGGTGAATCCCGAAAGCCTTAAAGCCCGGAAGCCCGGAATCCCGAAAACCCTGTTGACTGGAACCCGATGAACGAAACCTTAAGACTGGAGCCGTTCCGCCGCGACGCTCTGTCTGTACGGTCTGTCCCTGAATATCGACATTGAAGAATCACGAAGTCGGAGGGTAGTCGGTCAGCAAGACTGCCAGGCTTCTTCCCTGAGGATGGGAGACGAGTATGTCTCCGCTCACACTAGATTCTCGTTTATGTACATCCACTATATGTACAGAGATCGTTCTCTGTTGAAAACAATAAATCTGGTTGCCTGAGATCTGGCGGGGAAGCGCCGCGCCGCTTCACATAAATCGTAGCGGAGCGATCGAATGAGGCTAACACCAAGCTTAGACTCGAATCTTTCGGGATACATTCCGCAAAAGCCGAGTTGATTGGAAACGCCTCCAATCATCGATACTATTTTCTAGATGAGTGAGTGCTTGAAGTCTCGGGGAACAGCTGGATCGAGACACCATCACTCATCGAATGGGAGTTTGCGCCGGATCGCTCAAAATAGTGCCCTCGCTTTTCTGTCAGTTGTACTCGATCCATGTTTTCTTCAGAGGCCAGATGATACCTTCGAGTGGCAGACAAGGAGAAAGAAACGTAGATTCGAATGTTCAGGCGGATCTCCGACCTCGTCGCATCGAGAGGTTTTCTCTTCAGGCCGGCGACGAGGTGGCGGTCTCGAAGGCAATAGAGCAAGTTTTCCCGACAGCAACGATCAGGGGATGTGCCTTCCACTTCTGCCAGGCCGTTTGGAGGAGGGACAAGGACAAGGAGGTGGCAGAATTCGAGGAGGAGGCGACGGAAATGGCAGCTGTGGTAAAAGAGGTACCGCCCGCCGACCAGCACGCAAAGGAAGAAGGAAAGGAGACAGCAACTGCGGAAGAAGATATACCGGATGCTGCCCAAGAAACGGAGGGAACGGGGATAGGGGGCGAATTGGGAGGTCGACCAGCGAGAAGGTGCAGCCATATGGGTGTCGGGGGACCTGAAAGGAAAGATTAGTACGACAGGAAGAGGAAACGGATTCGTGTGGGCCGATGTCGAAGTGGCTGTTGTCTACAGCTGCTATATCTCACCGAACAGTGGGACCGACGGGTTTGACCGCTTCCTCGACAGTCTGGAAGGAAGTTTAGACACCTGGAGCCCGGGGAGACTGCTGGTGGTGGCCGGCGATTTCAACTCCGCGGCAGAAGAATGGGGCAGTGAGAGAATAAACGACAGGGGTGCGAAGCCATTGGAGCTGGCTTGCCGACGCGACCTCGTCATAGCGATAGATGGAAGGGAACCAACTTTTCAGAGGCAAAGGCTGACAATCCTCCAGAGGTCTTTTCTAGCCCTGACATTCTACTCTAGCGCCACGAGGGGAGAAGTCCAAGAGTGGAGGGTGCTCGAAGACGAGACCCTGAGCGACCATCGCTATATCGAGTTCATGATCCGAGAGGGGAAGCAGCCAGAAATGGAGGACGAGGACGAAGCGAGTGTTCCGCAGTTGGCAGTGGAACCCGAGAAGACTCGACCTTGAAGTGGAGAGGGACCAAATAATAGAAGCAAGGCAGGGAGTGTCGATGGGAAGCGCTGAAGGAATAGCTCAGGTTCTGCACCGAGCCTGCAAGAAAGCGGCCCGCGGAAGGCCCCCGAGCGGTCGGCAAAATAGGAAATACAAGTACTGGTGGACGGAGGAGCTCACTGAATCGCGGAAGCTGTGCGTAAGCCTTCATCGGCAACACTATAGGAATAAACAACGCGAACGACACCAAGAAGCGGAAAACGCGCTGGAACGATACAAAGCCGCGAAGAGAGAGCTGAGGAGACTAATACAAGGCAGCAAAGAGAGCTGCTGGCTCCAGCTCTGTGAAGAAGTCGATCGAGATGCCTTCGGGCAGGCGTATAAGATCGTGATGAAGAAATTGGGAGCCGCGGCCCCGAGACTGCCGGCCCCGCTGGTGGAGATAGTTGTCGAGCGCCTGTTCATGGCGCGTCCGACCCAGCAATGGCTGTTCGGGGATGAAGAAAACTACGACTTCGAAGCAATCACGGAGGAGGAGGTGGAACTTGCAGGGAAGAGAATTAGCTCGGGGAAAGCACCGGGGGTCGACGGTGTCCCGCCGGAGATGGTAAAGATCCTCATGAGGGACGGAGCGCCCAAATTCGCATCTATGGCCAACGGGTTACTAAGTGAGGAAAGGTTTCCGAAAGAGTTGAAAGTCGCAAGACTGGTTCTGCTCCCCAAGCCTGGGAAATCGCTTGAGGTACCATTCTCGTACAGGCCACCGTGTCTCCTAGATACGCTCGGGAAAGCAATGGAAACGATCCTGGGAGCAAGACTAACGGCAGAACTAGACCGAAACCTTGCAATAGCCGACAAGCAATACGGCTTCCGAGCCGTAAGGTGGACGGTTGATGCCATTCTAGAGGTGGTGCGCACGGCGGACGAAGAGCGACAGAAAACTTGGAGAACGAAGCAGTACTGTCGGGTAATCTTCGTCGATGTGCGGAATGCTTTCAACTCGATGCCGTGGGAAGTCGTGATGGAAGCCCTCAAGGAAGCCAAAGTCTCGCCCTACCTGAGAAGAACGATCGGCAGCTGCATGGAAGATCGGCAGATTATAACAGCCGCAGGAAAGAGATACCGGATGACGGCAGGCGTTCCTCAGGGGTCCATCCTAGGACCAACGCTATGGAACGTCGCGTATAACGGAGTGCTGCGGCTCGAACTCCCTGAAGGAGTGCGGACGGTGGCCTACGCGGACGATCTGGCGATCGTAGTGAAGGCGAGAAAAGATGGGCAACTGGAGAAGAAGGCGAATATAGATTGAAGCGATTGCTCGATGGATGGAGAATCACGGCCTAGACTTGGCCCCGGAGAAGACCGAGGCCGTGCTGCTTATCGGCAGGCGACCATGCGGGCCCCTCCCGGGACTCAAACTCAGGGGGCACCCAGTGGTTCCAGCTAAGGAGGTGAAGTACCTTTGGGTGACGCTGGATCGTAGGCTCACCTTCGCCCCACACATCCAACACGCACTGAAGAAAGCCAAGAAGGCTGTCAAGGCCCTTGGCCAGATAATGCCAAGGACCTGCGGAGCTGGAGAGGGTACGAGGCGCCTTCTGGCAGCGGTTGCGCCCTCAATCGTGACCTACGCCACACCAGTCTGGGAAAAAGCTTTGAGGAGGGACCGAAATGTGAAGAGACTCGCCAGCGTCCAAAGACAAATGGCCCTGAGAGTGTACAGAGCGTACAGGACAGCGGGCTTGAGCGCAGTCCTCGCGCTTGCCCGCCAAGTGCCCTGGCACCTCGTGGTCACAGAGAGGAAGCTGAGATACGATGACCGGAGGGAACTGAACCCTGGACTAAAGAGGACGCGGAAGCAGAGGTCGGAGGAGACACTGGCGAGATGGCAGACGGAGTGGGAGAGAGATACCGGCGAGAGCGGGTGGACCAAACGCCTGATCCCGGACATCGGGGTCTGGCAATGTCGCAGACACCTTCGGTGTATGCGCTAGTTACAGAGGAGGCAGCCAGGCGGCGTTCCGTCGACCCTACTGTCAATAGTCAATGACGTCAGCCACACAGTCGGTCTCCATAATTTAGAGTAGTCCAGTAATCCGAAAGTGATACCTCTGTAAGCTCTGGGGGCAATCATTCATACAATCGATCATGAAATATAATAAAGAGAATGGGCTTGGGTCACTCGTAGAACTGGCAATGCATCGCGCGTCGGTCGGCGCGTCTCTCCCGCAGACATCGTGTGCACGTCGAGACGTGCCGATTGGGGCGCGTGACTTCACTCTACCGAGAGGCTTCGCTGAGATAGGAACTAACCGTCCCCGGCTAACCGCACAAGCAACCTCTAGGAGCAGACCAGGTCAATCTTGACAGAAGTTGCCCTGTGACCCAGTCCACAAATCAACTAAAGGATTGTTCTCATTGAAGTACGCAACAGGCAAAACCGCAAGCACGGCCAAATATCGTACCACCTCACTCAAGCGATGGTCGGGCATGGTTGCTTCCAAGAGTACCTCTGCAGATTAAAGAGGGCCGACAGCCCGGAGAGCCTTCTATGCACAACGGGTGAGCCTTCTATGGACACCGTGAGACACACCCGAGGACTGCGACTTCTTCGCGCAGGAGCGCATTAGTTTCTGCGCCCACTCACTGGAAGCTTTGAACTGATGCCCAGGTTCGTCTTCTCCCCGTTTCTTCTCTTCGAGGGCTTTCCTTTGAATGTCTATCACCTGCACAACTCGGTTTCGCGCGCTTTTTTCCAATACCCAGTCCTTAAGCCGCTCTTCGAGCGTCGGATTCCGGACGGCGCCTTTCCGGGACGCTCGCCGAGTTCTATTCGTCGTCCTGAGATTGTCTTCATTTTTTTTCCAACGATGTACCATACTCTTCGAGATATTATACTTGATGGCTGCGGCCGTCATGCAGTTCAGACGATAGAAATCCATTACTTCACATTTCTTTTGGGCAGTATAAGAGAGCCTCATCCTCCTGGAAAGTTGGAATGGATGCATCCAGCGTCGACTTGGCTTACTATCAGGTAGATCAGAAACGAAGACCAGATGCGGCGGAGGGTCGGAACGCGGAAGCACTTACCGGCCGTTCAAATTCATTCACGCTCGGGGAACCTTGAAGAAGGAGCTCTGGACTCTCTGATGATTCCGCTTCGAATGCTCCTGATGATGTCTTAAGCCCAAATGTGAAAGTCGCCATAGAGATGTGGATCTGAGAGGCAAGTACGAAGCGAAGTGCGAATGTCGCCGAACCAAGCATTCAGATCGACTCTGGTGGACGCAATGAATGCTCAGGCTCTCACTCCGAGTCTTTCTCGCCAATATTTTTTCTTTCAAGTTAGGCATCATGAATGCATTCTCAATGAGCCTTCTCGAATTCTCTACCGGAGCGAATCCCTATAGTTTCTGCGCGAGCACTTAGTGAGTTGTCGAATCTCGCCGCTATAAGCATCTTGACGAGCTACCTCAGTATTTTTTCATGATAGAAATGAAATAAATCTACATGATGAGAGTATTGATCTTCAAATCTGCGGGATACGCGAGGTGACGTGTCTCATGAAGAGGGCTCCGAAGGCGCTGATCACGCGGGACTCCTAATGGAGGAGAAGCCTCAAAGAAAGGTTTGCTTCTTTGTGTAGAAAGCTCCTTGTCCGCGAGGAGCTAATAAGGAAGGCCCTTTATGCGAGGGGTTGCTTATGTGGGGAGTTCCCTATACGCGAGGTTGCTTATGTGGAATGTACCTTATACATGAGGTTGCTTATGTGGAAAGTTCCTTATATACGAGGTTGCCTCTGCGGAAAGTTCGTTATACGCGATGTTGCTTATGTGGGAAGTTCCTTACACGAGGCGTTGCTTGTACGTGGCATTTTGGGGTATATGAATAAAAATGTGTATATAAGATCGGAGGCAAATGAACTGGCCGGCCGCAGGTGCGATATCGGCCCCCGTAAAAAAAAGGCCGTTTGGAGGAACGTTCAGAGACATGGACTCTCAACGTCATACGCCTCTGTCAAGAGGTGAGCCTCGGGTATGGCGAACGGAGGATGGGGGCGCTAACTCCGGGAACTCATGATGCTTTTGAGGCGGTGATAGATTCCGGAAACAAGTATATTCGCGGCTTCATTAGGTCCACGATGGCATTTTGTTTCGTGCCATTGGAAAGAATAGACGATGCGCAGATGGAAATCGACGCCGATTCCCCCGGAGCGGACCACGAAGCCTTCGCAAAGCTGAGTGAGTTCAAAGAATGTTCCATCCGTACTTGGTTGGAGAGCGACGTTTTCCCTCGCGCCATATGGAATCATCATGGGTGAGTTTTATGCTCCCTCTAATGATTGATTCGCGATGATTGAAGCAAAATAACAACTCGCAGTATCGCCGATTTCCCCCTCTCGTTATGACGTCAGCATCATTTGGCGCCGTTGGGTTTGTGGAATGAGTCCCTCAATCCACGCCTCTCGACATGAAGTTCGAAGCTGGAACAACGAACCGTCTGGAGGGATGGCACAGCGCTCTTAACAAGATGACTAATTGTGATCCACGCTTGACACTTGGTGGATCTACATATGCGAGCCACTCTTCGGGCGACCGAATTTTCGGGATTCCGGGTTTTCGGCATTTAGGGTTTTCGAGATTCAGAGTTTTCGGGATTTCGGGTCCTCGAGATTCCGGGTCCTCGGGATTCCGGGTTTTCGGGATTCAGGGTGCACACCTGGCGTAAGCCTTGCAGAAGCGGGTCACATCAATTGTGAGATGGGATCTTTGATTATCTAAAAAGAGGAGCACCGGTCTTTCGATGTTCTGTTCGTCGAGGCAAGGAATGAATTTCAACCTCAGATATTCGAGGAAGGTGGCACCGGTCATCCAGCCTTCATCCGATTTGAAGAGGCAGAATTTCTGTCGGAGTAGGTCCGTGAAAGCTGGAGGCATTCGTTTGCGTCTAACTACGATCGCTGAGGGCGCCGGGTGGCCTGCCGCTGACCCGCAAACAAGCACGGTAACGTTATGGTCATGGTTATGGTTATAATTGATCCTCGCTGATGTTCTCCTTGTCGGAACCTGCTGCCGAGTGGACACGGCGAGCCCCTCTGACTCCCATTACTTTCCCGCTACGAGGATTCAGAGCGAATCCCGTTTCGTCCGCGTTGATGATTCGACTCGGTTGATGCAAGATTTCCGCTAGATTCCTGTCTCGCATTGATGTCGTTATGCGAGTGAAGTACTCTCTAATGTCAGCTTCGCTGATATTAGCTTGAGCGCTTGGAATGTGCTCGAGCGTTCTCAATGCGAGGTCTGGATGTCGTTGACAGAACAAGCGTATTTCGTAAGCCGAAACTATTTGTTGAGCCCTTGGATTCCCGTCCTTTGCAGCTAATTTCGCCAGTTTGCGGCCTGTTTCTTGAAGAGCATCCCTGGTGACAGGAAATCCGAGTTTAGCCATGTCCTTGACCCATTGCACGATGTCTTCCTCGGTTTCTTTAGTTAGTTAGTTAGTTAGTTAGTTACATATCTCTTGCAATAGTCAGTGACCACTAAGACGTGCCAAGCCCGCTGCCCCGGTACATTGAAGGGCCCTGCGAAGTCTAAGCCTAACTTCTCGAATGGTCGACCCGGCGGAGCGATTGGCTGAAGGGCCCCAACTTTCCGCCCTCCACTTTTCCGACGCTGAGATCTCCAATGTAATGGGTCAGATCGGGTCGGTCGTGACCGACAATGCGACGTGCTTCCGAGGAAGGGTTTTCACGGAGTATCTCCGGGCCGCTGGTATCTCGCATGCGCGAACAGCTGTAGGGCAACCTCAGTGCAATGGACTCGCAGAGAGGATGATTCGTACTGTGACGGATCGCCTGGCGGTCCTGATAATGGAGGGTGGGTCGGCTAGACTAACACGGGACTCGGACCACGAGGTAGCCTTTCCGGATCCTCGCTGTCAATCTTTCTGTCGTGCGCGGCACCCCGAATTGATTCGCTGCAGTTCTGTGACTTGTGCCATTCCTGACAGCTTCAATGGCATTCCGAAGATCTTCGGTGGTGTAATTGGCGTTCTGGAAGGCATGAGCCAGGGGATCTCTGATAGCGCGAAGAGCGAATACGAAATTAAAGAGGTCAGACATTCGCGGATCTCCGATGGAGAAGTGCTGTCTGGATTCGAGACTCTAGCTTATGGCTGCGAGATTCCGACGGGTGGGATAAACCGTCAGATAACGATCGGAATACTAAGCGCAGGCATGATTATGCACGGGGTCGATGCGCACTGCATGTGACGCATAGCCAGAGCTCAAGAATAAAGCTTCTCTGGTGGCCGTCCGGGGGGGGCTGAACGTGCATGTGAAAAGCTCGGGCACGTCGAGTCGACGTGCCATCAGTTGCACCGGAGCGCTTCAGGCGAACGGGCGTTCAGAACGTCTCCACACCAGAGCGAGATTATCAAGTATCAGATACGAGTCTTCATCGATAGTTATTCCGAGACGAGTGTGCATCATATGGTGGCAGCGAAAAACTGAGGATCGTCGGAGAGCAGAACCAGTTTCAGACGAGATTCCAGATCGTTCGGTGGCCGAGAACGACTTCGGATAGCGGCGAAACTACAGAGGACGATCGAAGAGCGTTTCCAGAAGAAATACGCTACAAAAAGGGGTAACCAAGATTCCCAGAAGGGATCCAGACCCATCAAGTGGTTATTGCGGGAGTTTGAGACTCCAAAAGTGCAACTCGCGAAAACGTGGTGCCCATCCAGGGGAAGGCATTCAGTGCGGCGATACAGTGAAGAAAGGGATCGGAGCGCAACATGCCGGACAAGGTGGAGCTCGGTAACGAGGGCAAGGCAGAAGGCAACCCAGAGAGGAAGCTGGATGACACAAAAGAGATTGCAGGCAAGGCAGGCAAGGCAGGCGAGCGCGATGAGCTAAACGCGAAAGTTGCGTTCAGACGCTCGCTCAGAGATCGCCTGACAAAGAAAATATTCGAGCTCGAGGAAGCCTTGCGGGATGAGACGGCGTCCGACAGTGATAAATCCAGAATATGGAGAGTGCTTGAGGCAACGTACGATGAAATCAAAGCGTTGAATCTCGCAGTTATGCCACTCCTATGCAGGCTGTCGCCCGAACAATACGAAGACGCGATAGAAAGAGTGTTCTTCTACGAGGAAGAATTCTTCCGGATCAAAGACGCGTACGAGATAACGTGCCGTCCAGCGGTTCAGCAGTCCAGCTGCGGAGCTCCGGGAACGAGTAGCCAAGGGTTGGCACTCGACAGAAAATATCGACTTCCGAAATTCAGTGGGGACTTCAAGAAATACAGAGAGTGGAAGCAGCTGTTCGACGTTCACGTGCACCGCAAGCGGATCGATCCAGTGGAGAAATTCACGCTTCTGAAGGAAGCTCTCGTAGGTCTCCTGGCGTCGGAGATAGCACATCTGGAGTTCACCGCATCACAGTATCCGGAGGCTATCGCAATTATCGAGAAGAAATTCGGATGCCCCCGGGAGGCTGAGAAGGATCACGTATTCGAGATGCAGAGGCTGTACAAGTGGAGGGACCTGCACCTGAACGATAAGTTGTCGCGATTTGTTTCGACGCTATCTCAAAACGTCAAGGCTCTAATCTCGTTAGGAAAAACGTATGAGTCACTCTCGGTGACGGTTGCTCCAGGCATACTCGCGTGCTTACCGAGCACGATGAGGGAAGATTTCACTAGATCGCACTTTGAGGTATTGCAACGCCCAGACGGTTCGAGTAGCGAGCTAGAAACACTCCTGGTATACTTTGAGAGAGAGGTAGCAGTAAAGCGAGCATGCCGGTTCCCGGGTGGCGACTCAGGGGCCGGACCGTCGCAATCTCGCAGGGATGTCAGCCATAGAAAGCATGATAGATCCGAGCGAGAGCCGGTAGGAAGCAGCCGAGCATTCTTCGCTAAGAGCAATCGTTCAGAGGTGGATCATACCTGCGTTTTTTGCGGCAGTTCTAAGCACCAATCGAGGGCTTGCAAAAAGAACTTAACGTACGACGAAAGGAAGGCTCGCTGCGAAGAATGCAAGGCTTGCTTCAAATGTCTTGGCAGAAACCACAATGCTAGAAGATGTAGAGTATCTGTGAAGTGCGAGAAGTGCGGGCGAGGTCATTACGAGACTCTGTGTGGTCAGCAGAAGCCGGAGCAGAATTCGGATCAAAAGTCGGAAAATAGTACGGGAAAGAACACGGGTTCGTTCGCAACTCAGACAAACCGAGCGCGGGGTGGCCAGAACGATAAGGGGCCAATATTCTTTCAGACGGGTCTCGCGTGGGTCAATGCGCCGACAGGTAGGAAAATCTTCAGGTTCTTCATCGATAGCGGGTCAGAACGTTCGTATATCTCAGAGCACGTGATCCAGTCACTCAAATTGAAATCGGTCCAGCAGGAGTGCCTTGCAATGATCACGATAGGCGGCGAGGTCTCGAGTTACAAAAAATACGACGTTTTCGACATAGGGCTGCAGAGTCGGTTCGACGACAAGGCGGCGATCAGGCTCCAGGCCACGGGCATTCCGGAGATAGCTAAAGGGGACTTCCCAGTCGCGAGCGAGTCGTTCGGTATGTCTCCCATGGCAGACATCGGAGAAAACGTGAGAAGGCGCGAAATCGATATTCTCATCGGCGTGGATAACCTCGCGCGAGTTAAGTGCGGTGAGGAGGTAGTAGTCGTCGATGACAGATTCGTTGCGAGTAAGACGATCTTCGGTTGGGTGTTGGCGGGGCACAATCAAGCTCCGAGTCGAGATCGGCGGGCCAAAACATTCGTGACTGCGAATCTCTATCAGCCGGGCACGAGACTCCCGGCCTCGATGGTCGTTAGCATGTTAGCGACGACGGGCAGGGAGAAGCGTGACTCGTTCAGCGAGTCGGACTCCAGCTCCGGAAAGGAGAGCGATGATCGACTCAATGCGGATCTGGAAAAGCTGTGGTCGTCGGAGCTCCTCGGCATCGAGGCTCCGGAAGCGCCGTCCTGCGGCGAATCGGAGAGCGCGTTACGTGAGTTTTTCGAGAACAACATCCAGCGGTTGGAGAGCGGTCGATATAGGGTCAGCTTGCCGTTCAAGGATAATATGAGGTCTCTCGGAGATAATGAGAACATAGCGCGTGGGTGTCTCAAACGGTTCCTCGAAAAGAATAGACATAAAAAAGAGGTTATTGACGCGGTGGATAAGGAGATGGAAAAATATCTGAAGAGCGGGTATGCGGAACTAGCGGCACCGAGGAAACCCAACGAATTGGTGCATCATTTGCCGATCCTTCCGGTCATCAAGCGGAGTCCAACTCAGAGCGCACTCAAGGTGCGAGTGGTAAAAGATGCGGGAGCGAGGCGGAGGGACGAAGCGGCACTGAATGATGTCCTACATGGCGGGGCAAATTTACTGCCGGATGTCATCAGAGTTTTGCTTCGGTTCCGGCATGATGAGATAGCCATCACATGCGACATAGAGGCGGCGTTCCATCAGTATCAGATTCATCCCGATCATCGAACGTTTCTCAGATATTTCTGGCCTACGGGCATAAGCGGAAATCCGAATGCTCCGATCAAGGAGTACTGGAGCACGGTTCTCGACTTCGGGATAGTTTCGAGCCCATTCATACATTGCGCAGGAATCAAGTTCCATCTTGAGCAGCTCATGAGAGAGCATCCCAACAGGAAGAAATTCCTAGAGGATATCGACCGTAATTTCTATATGGATGATCTGGTTTTTTCGGTAGAGGTCGGCGAGCGACGGTTTCGAGAGTTTCGATTTCTTGTTTCGAGCGTTCAGCGCCGGAGGCTTCAGGCTTCGAAAATGGGCAACGAATAGCTCGGAATTGGGTCTCAAAATGAGGGAATCGCTTCACGATCCCGAGATTCAGATATCATTCGACCAGACCGAGGCGAAGTTCCTCGGCCTTTGCTGGAATTTGCGTTCGGACGAGTTGTCAATTTCCGTAGCGGCAGCGATAGAGACACTCGGGACCGGAGAACCGACAAAGCGAACCTTATTGAAGAGCACAGCCAAGATTTTCGATCCACTGGGTTTTATTACACCCGTCTCGATCAAGCCGAAGTCACTGCTACAGTCACTTTGGAAACAGAAGGTCGGTTGGGATGCGAAACTCACGGGTGCGAACTTGGATCAATACCTTGAGATCAGAAAAACGTTCGAACGGGCTCGAGATTTTCGTCTGCGTCGGAATCTAAACACGACAGCGCGCGACATTTCTAAGAGAGAGCTGCACGTGTTCTGCGATTCGAGCTTGTCTGCTTTCGGGTGTGTTGTTTACCTCAGAGAGGTGTCGGGCGATAGAGGCGGCGCCAGAGTGTCGTTCGAGGCCTCCAGGGCGAGAGTGGTACCGCTCAAGGCGGGATTTTCGATTCACAAGTTGGAATTGATTGGGGCAGTTCTCGCGGCTCGGATCGGGAATAAAATCAAGCAGTATCTCAATTTTCATCTCGATACCATGTGCTATTGGTGCGATAATTCGCCGACATTGCACTGGATCAAGGATTCTCCAGATCGGTGGAAAGTCTTCATTCGGAACAGGATCACGGAGATCCAGAGCTTGTCGGACCCAGCAGAATGGGACTACGTGAGGAGTGCGGAGAACCCGGCGGATCTGCTGAGTCGCGGAGTGGACATTACAGAGGAGGAATTCAGTTCCATGTGGCACTCGGGTCCACAATGGTTAGCGATGCCAGGCCGTCCAGCGGAGAAGCATTCCTTGAATGAGCACTTCGAGAGTGAGCTTGAGAAAGAGAGAAAAACGAAGGTGCTGTTAGTCAATACGGCGCAGAGACCGGATTTCCTCGATTTCGGCTCACGATTGTCATCTTGGAGCACGGCGGTGAATAGTATAGCAAGAATCCTCAGATGGTCGGCGAATCGGCGACATCCGGCCTCGAAGGTAGCATTGTCTGATCCAGTCAGTACGGTCGAAGCGCTCAAGGCGACGGAAAAAATATTGCTCAATATTCAGAGAAGGCATTTTGGCGAGGAATTGATGTCTGATTGCAAGGACGTGGGGAAAGAGAGCAAGCTTTTCAAATTGGCTCCTTCCGTTGATGAGCAAGGAGTCGTGAGAATCCGTTCGAGGTTGGAGAGAGCCGAGGAGCTGAGTTTCGCGGAGAAGTTTCCTCAAGTGCTACCGGGAGAGGATGCAGCAGTCAGGCTGCTAATCCGTTTCTATCACGGAAAAAAGTGCTTTCATGTTGGAGGTGTCGCAGCGACACTCAGCATCCTGCGGAAAAAGTACTATATACTATCGGCGCGACGGGCGGTTAAGAGCGTGCTGAAAGACTGTAAAGTTTGCATGCGATTTCGGGTGGACGCAGCAATGGAACCGGTCCCGCCGATCCCGAACTTCAGACTGGAGACAGCTCCACCGTACACCGTCTGCGGAGTGGACTACGCGGGTCCGATTGCGTATAAGCACGAAAACGGGAACCTACGGAAGGGATATATTATTCTTTTTGTTTGCGCGGCTTCCAGAGCTGTTCATCTGGAACTAGTTCCAGACATGACAGCGTACGGATTCCTTCTCTCGCTGCGGAGATTTCTCAGCAGGTTCAGCGGGGTCACGAAAATTCTATCGGACAACGGGTTGTCGTTCGTTCGCGCGGCTAAGGAGCTGAAGACGATTTACGAACACGTTCGATGCGCCACGGTCCAGCAGCACCTGGTCAACCAGGAAATAATTTGGGAATTTATTACTCCCCATTCGCCAACCCATGGTGCGTGGTGGGAACGAATGGTGCAAACAGTGAAACGTCCGCTCCGGAAAATTATTGGGAGAAACGCGTTACGGTTCAGGGAACTCGAAACGATTTTGATGGAAATAGAATCTCTGGTGAATCAAAGGCCGATCACGTCGGTGCAACTGGACCCGAACGAGATCAATGCATTGTCGCCAGCGGATCTTCTCTATGGCCACAGAGCGAAGCCGACACTGCCGGAGATGAAATTCAAGCCGAACACGCGAGAAGCGGCAGAATCAATCGTTTTCTCAAAGCGCTGGAAACACCAGCAATCGGAAATTCGAGCTTTCCAGAAGCGATTCACGGAGGAATACCTGCAGTATCTAAGAACAGCGCATATCAGATCGCCGGTAACTGCGCGGAGCATCCAAGTAGGCGACGTCTGCCTATTGCAAGGCCCGAGTCCGTCGAAGGCGCGTTGGCCACTATGTAGGGTTCTCAGTCTTTCGGGCGGGGAGAGAACGGATCGGAGGAAACGATCCTGCCTCATCAGGACGGCGTCAGGCCAGGTCTTTCAGAGACCGATTCATTGGCTTTACCCACTCGAAGTCTAATTTATCTAGAAACGATGAGAACGGCGGACGCAGATAAAAAGAAAAAGGCGAAGTTTATTACACATATGGGGAGAGGGTGTAGTCTTTCCCGAGGCCCATCTCAGAGGCGTCAGTCTGGGTGCTAACTTCCCTGGTTTTCGGGGCGGGCGGCGCAGGGGCTGGGGGACTCGGCGGACGAGCTTCGGTGGCCGGTGGGGGGGAGGCAAGCGGGCCGAGCCGAGCGAGAGCGAGCTGGCCCAGGCAGCAGTGGACACGGTCGAGAATGCGTACCGGGAGTAGCAGGGGCGCGGGGTTCGACGGTTCGGTTCGGAGCGACACAGAGCGGCGGCGCGGCAGAAGGGGGCCCGTCTCGTCGAACGTCATGGAGTCCCACGTGCCGCGGCTCACCAGACGAAGGTCACGGTACGGAACAGTCTCGAACTCGCGGCTAGCGATCAGGGAATCAACGAAAACCCCCAAGGGGCTCAGGTGGAAGCGGGACATCACTTTTGAGAGGTCGAGAGTTGGCTCGGAATGATCGAAATTGTGAGGAAAAACGCGGGGCCGGTCTCGAATTGGGAGAGGAGTTAGGTCTAGAACTCTCCGATGCGGAAAGAATCCGTTCAAATTCATACGGTGACCCGGTTCCAGACCGACATTTTGGGATCAAATGTCTCGTCGCACTTTTCGGACTAGTTAGCTCAGCCTGAAGCCAATGTGACTTCCGTGGTTACGATCCAGTCGAGATTCTCCAGGAAATA